CTAAATGTTAGGTGAAGTCGGTGGCAATTGTTACCGAACAATTTATCCTAATTGGACACATCCACGCAGGCAAACAATTTACTAGGTTCATAAACCACTAATAAGAGAAATTAACTTTGATATTTATGTGTATAATCCGCATGTGCGAGGCAGTAGCACTAAAATGAAGAATGCGAATGTATTTTTAATTGTTATATTTCAGACCCAGTAACCGGGATTCAGACTTGGTTAATCGCTTCATACTTCAGACTAACTTTAGTGAATAAACTCTAATGGTTTGGAATTCCTTGAAAAGAAAGAGGAGAGATTAGTTATATTAACATAGGCAAGATGAAAGTAAAGGCGAGATTGACCAAAATAATCATTAAGGGCATAGTGCATTTGTGAGCCAAAAAATGAAGGCAGTCTACACACGTTTTGAGTTATAACTAGATTTTAAGCAAAAGTGACTGGTTGATGACACATATAAGATGAGATCACTCAGATAACGTCATCGTACGTAATATGAGGGATAAATTTAATCGCAACATTTGCTTTACTAAAAAAAAAGCAAATAGCATAAACAACCTAAGGTATAACTAGGATATCATAAGCTATGGGGTGGGATATTTCATTTTATCTTTCTGCTAAATCGATGAGTTGAAGATGGGTGTTATGTCAGAAGTAAAATTTGCTCACTTTTGATAAGTTCCTGCCGGAAGGAAATTCTCGAAGCATCTGGTCTCGATGGGAGTTAAGCCAAAATCTATAAGGCATGGTCTATACATATAAGACTCCCAGTTAGTTTAAAATGCTAAATGCTTTATATGATAATTAGGTTTTGACTACAGCTTATTTGAAAATTTTGGGAACGACTACTGGGACCGCAGTCGGAATATGCTGGGAATAAGGTGGCTAAAATCCGTTCTATACTAATAAAACAAATATGGTAAAAATATTAATAGGGATTGGTGGTAAAAAGATAGTGTGGGCAAAGAATATTTTACCATGTTAGCAAGAAGAATTCAGGAAGATCACTCCATGAAATAGGTTTAGGTGGTGTTTGTAAAGGTAAGATTGCATGCTAAAAGGCAAAGCTGAAATGAAAGTATTTAGTCTGGCTTGCATCCATGCCACTAAGCTTGGGCCTATTATACATACGCAAGTTTATTAACACTAGAGCTTCTAGGTAGAAGCTAATTAAATGCAGTCTCATTCATTTACATGGGCTTTAAAAAGCTCATTGCGCCCTATTCAAGATCTTATTTAGCAAGGCTAAACTGTCTAGAAACCATTGCTTTACGACAATTTATACAATAAGAAGTCTCAAGTCTAATTTAATTAATAAGTGTCAGATATTTTGATGCGAGACTAAACTCTCCTGAATTTTCAGAAACACGATAGCAGAGGTAAATAGCCCTCAGTATCCCTTATGCCGATCACACAAGATAGTATGAGATAGATTAGTGTATGCTAGATAAATATTTTTCAGGGGATTAGCAGGATTTAAATAGCTTTGAAGCTTTATACATTACCTAACATCGTTCCAACCCTCACATAGATAGCTGTTCATTTACTGGTGATATTTTATCCTTTTCCTTTACAGTATAATGAGCTAAGAACCTAGAAGCCTTGTATTTTATGACTGAATATTATTTGAGTTTGATGAAAGCTTGGCTTTCCGACATAAATGTCTGATAAAAATTGTGGTCACACTTGGACACATAAGGTGAAGAATTGCCTGTTGATCTTTATCATAATGCTATGGATAGCTCTCACATAGACCTTGAAATCCACTCAGCCTTGCCTCTGAAAAAGGTATTATTATTCAAAATAAATTTGGTTTGGCCTCATCATCACTCGCTAAAGTAATAAAAGCAGTCTCAAGGGCATAAAGTGGTGGCAAATTACAACTATACTATGCAGTCAAGGGGCAGGCCTGATTTTCAAGAATAAAAAGGCCTCTCCTATATTATATTTATATTAGGATTGTCAGTGCTATATTAAAAAGGCTTGCCTTGAAAGTTACGTCTTTACTGTGAGCCACTGGCATCTTTCGTCATTTGACATAGACGTAAAAAATTGCCACTTTACACACGTGACCCGGGTACGATTACCGTTGATGACTATGCTCAAATCCAGGCAAGTTAGAAAGTGCACTCCACTCAGGGCGATAATACCTTCTTAAAGGCAAGGCTAAGTAGAATTTGATGACAGCGTAGGAGTTACTCAAAAAATTGTAAGACAATTCAATTGCAAGCCTTTCACACCTTATACGATTTAGGGTCAGTTCAGTTATTATTCAAGATTTCCTGCTATCACAGAATTTTTCTAAGCATAAATATATACAAATGCATAATTCCGAAACTGCAGCTCACATTGGACTAGCCTTATTCTGATTCCGTATTTCAGTATGATAGGACTAACAAATCCCTAGCATAAGTGCGGTATCTTAATAATGAAACAGCCTCTAATTGACGATCAAGATCAAGTCTATTTTAATACCTCCGAACACATAAGGGGTACTTAGGAATGACAGGTAACTCAAAAATAGACCTAATTCTCCTGAAGTATTTAAACACTACGAGATACATTTATCCATCATTTTGGGAATCAAACTAATTTGAATTTTATTTATTTAAACCAATTTTGCGGGTAAAAACTTACACTTTTTACTTATTCTGTAACAAAATGGTGTTGAGTATGCGATCTACATATCCATTTACATAAACTTTTCTACAAAGCTTAACTCCTATAGATAAATTTTTTATTAAATTTTTAAACACCTTGCCCCTATTTCGATAAAAATTATACATCAAACTTCATCCTAAACTTAGGAGAAACACCTCGTCGCCTTCATTTATAGCCATTTCTAGAGCAAATGTTTTTGTGGATTATTATGGCAGATTCGATCTCACTAAATCCATTGAAATGAGCAAACCATAACCAGGTTTACATAATCAAGTAAGAAATTGTGATATTGAAGAGGTGATATGAGACTAGTATATAAGTGAATACACCGGAGAAGGAAAGATACCACAATTTTTTAGAAGAAAATTGGTCAAAGGATCGAGATCACTTGCCTCTTTGACGAGTTTTGGAGTGATGCTAAACATGGAAAAACTCACTAACGATGCCGACTACAATGCCGGGGAAATATGTACCAAGTCTACGGTCCGACTCTTGAAATTATCATGCATACTATGGACTCCGGACAAAGGGCATTCCTCCAGGCCGCCCTGACAATAATACAAAGTTGCAAAAACGAAGTCAAATTACATGTATAAAACGAAAAGATACTGCAACCATAGATTTGGTCTCCAAGCCTTCGATTACATGCTTTTCCTTTTAAAGTCCATATTAGTTCTCTATCTTTTCTCTCATATATAACTTCGCAATTGTTAAGAATAATGAAATTTCCATATGGATAGCCATATGCATGTAAATGTGACTCTAAATGTTTTTATTTATTTGGTTTTATCTAAGATCCAAGATAATCATAAATTTCGTATATTTTACTTAATTAATAATCATTTATAAAGGTCCATGCTATAAATGTATTATTTATTGCTGTTATATGAGTTGATACATGGACCAATTTCATCTAGAGTATTAATCCTTCCTATATTTATTTTACTAATAATCGAATGAAAATCTTTCCGTTATAGAATCTTTAAACCGTTACGGGTTATCAATTTGTTGCTATAACTGGCCACAACGTTTAAAAGTGAACTCCCTGAACATAGCGGGGGCTTAGTAAATATGATAAGAGTCCATTGTATAATATGACATTAAACCTGATAGCAGATTCCTTCCTGTGTAGAGATCAACAATTTTATTATATGCTTGATTAAAATTATTAAAATTTTAATCATTGGAATAAAGGAAGGTGACCAATACTCTTTGGGAAAATCGTTAAGCTACATTGTACATTGCAGGATAGCCATTAGCTATACTGCCGTGGTGGTGTGTGCAGTTAACTATTTGGAGTGGTACTAAAAGCTTGAAGTATGGTGTAGATCCCTCTATATGCCTGAACTGAGATATATTTTTTACTTGATTTCATGAGCTTATGCCACATATGATGAAAAAATATGTGAAACTTTTGAGTTAGAAGCTTGCAAAAGAAAAACATTTAATTTTAGAATAAATTGGGGGAAAATAAAATGGAGACAGAAGGTGCAAACAATTTACGGAAAAATACAGCAAAAATTTGAAAGACTAAAGGAAAAGGAATTGTGCCTTCCTTTTCTGTCAGAGAACAGTTCTACTACACTAAGTTCGGAAATGTCGAAAAATTTAAGTCCTAACATTAATAGTGAGGTCTTGAGATTAAGAAGAAATGCCAATAAATTACGAGCTTGTAGACTTTATCTGCATATAAAAGTCATACTTCTTAGTTTTTCGTTCTTCGTGAATCTGTCACAGTCTAGTGAGCTATTTTTCATCGTATCTTCAGGCTGTCCTGTATTTGTGTCAAGTAGGCAGAGCTTCTTCTTTAGAGGACCTGTATTTAGGTTTATAAGTTAACCGATGGGGTGATTACCAATAAACATTCAGGTGGCTAGAATGTATACCACTTCTATTTTACATGAGAAAAGTTTATTTTACAGGCTAGCTCCTTCCCCTGTTCATCATGGATAAATCTGCTACTCCCTAATGAAACATAATGCTGTTTAAGATCTTCAACCAATGACCAAAAGCTCATTAAAGTTTTTAATAATAAATATCGTATTTGTTCTCAGAGCTAACATTTTTATTTATATCCTTTAAATAATGCCCTGGCTTGAAACCTCAACTTCTACATACTCACACATTAACCGATACAATCACGCTACCCCTATAATAATTAGGCAAGTAAATAGAAATCGAAATGTTATATATTTACCTTATATGTTATTGCAACTATTTTAGGCCATATTATTAATGCGCATTATATGAGCACTAATTAATTTTTTAATTCAGTGAGGTTAAAGTGTGATACAGCGGCCTTTTTACTTACACATCTCAGGCATTTTGCCATGCTTGCTTTCTTCCAGCGTATCCTTGATTGGATCAAAGGCTTGTTTTGGAAGGAAGAGATGGAACTAACCATTGTCGGTCTACAGTATTCTGGGAAGACTACGTTTGTAAACGTTATCGCAGTAAGATTTTGATTTGCAATTTTGCTTAGCTTGTCAGTTGGGCGAATATCATGATGATATGATCCCCACTGTTGGATTTAATATGCGCAAAGTTGTAAAGGGTAACGTAACAATAAAGGTAATATGGCGTCTGTTGGTATTTCAATAGGTTTGGGATATTGGAGGACAACCGCGTTTCAGGAGTATGTGGGAACGATATTGCAGGGGCGTCAATGCAATAATGTACTCAGCAAAATAGCCTAATATTCTTATAGATTTATGGTTGATGCAGCGGATCCTGATAAATTAGAAGCAGCTAGAAATGAATTGCACAACCTGCTAGATAGGTCTCAATTAATGGGGATTCCTGTCCTTGTTCTGGGTAACAAGCGTGATCTTCCCGGTGCTTTAGCCGAAAATGAGTTAATTTCCGTTCTAAATCTGGGTGCAATTACTGACAGGGAAATTTGTTGCTACTCTATATCGTGCAAGGAGCGCGAAAATATTGGTGGGTTATTATTTATTTTGGTTAACTGTGTTTTCCAAATTATTTATTGATTCTTTTTAGATATCACCTTACAATGGCTTATTAAACATTCTAAATCTGGATAGAATATCCCTCAAAAGGTCCGTCTTGAAAGATATTGTTTCAATCTCGTAAACTCAATTTTCTTATATATGCTTGAAAGCGTTCATTTATAACTAATTGAATTGTCCTATTGATGATTGAAATTTTATGATTTGTAACATCCTTTGGCTTACTTTTTTGCCTGAGCTAGCTAGAGTCGTTACTTTATTGCCTTTATTGTCATAAGATCTTTATGCATTTTCCTCCTTTCATCTCGATCATCGTCTCCTATTTCTGTGTAAAATGTGATTGTTTAATGCCCACAAGCCTTGATTTTGACGCTAAAGTTAATACTGTATCTCTAGCTATTCATGTAAATTCTAACTTCTCGCTATACAGATTTATATAAATTATTTCCCAGCGAGAACTTTGTTCCGGATCTTTTTTAGGTACATTATTTTGAATCAATTTTTTTAATTATGCATAATCACTCAGATTCCTACTTGATCTGTTTACCCTACATCTAGATAATCTTCAAATAAATATTACTCCACAATATTTACATTACCGCGCATTCTTATTCATTCCGTTGTGTGTACTTTGATATTGCCTTTTATTCCGAGAGCTCTGTATGTTTTTATGAATCCTATTCGGCTCACTTTTCTTTTTCCTAATTCTATTATTTCGTTGATATAGTCATTTAACTTCCTGAACACTTTCGTAATTTTAAACCCTGTTCAATTTCATATCTTTCCTATTGTCCCTATTTCTGTTAATATATTTACTACGAGCTAGGCTTCCTGAAACGCTAAAGGAATGGCAATTATTTGCCTCAATACAATTTAGCTATGAATATAATCGATATTCAAAATTTCAACTTAAAATTCTGGATCTTTTCGCTGGAAAACTTTTGTGCAATGATATTTTCCGTGTCACAGGCATCTTGACCCTATTTTGCTGAATCCGTGTAAATATGCACCATCTATCTTGTCTGTCAATGCGCTTTTGTAATTTAGTTACTTTACTGATTAATTTGCTCTATGGTCACTAGTATGGCGTCCTGTATCTCGGCTTCTTGATAAGAGTTCGTGAGTTCAGCACAAATGTGTCCGATTTCGATATTATTTTATTTTATTCAAAACTGTGCAATCATGGCATTAGTTGACCTGTTCTGTATTTGGGCACTGTGTTGCTGATTTCACTTCTGCTTCCGAAGCGCCTTTTTCCTTCTGATGCAACCTTACTGAGCCCTCTTTTGTCATACATTAATATCTTTAAATCAATACGACTTCTTTCATAATCTGTCCTTTAGTATCATTATTTTATTTTAAATGTATGCTCGCTGACTTGATAATCTCACAGACGTATCCATTTAGCTCTATTTTGAATCATCAAATTTAAATGCATGTTTATTTGTATTGGCCTGAATTTTTCATTTGATAACTAGTTATTTTCATATTGTTTTACTCTACGCTGATTGATACTACGCCTTGTTTTTTAACTAGGTTCCACCCATTATTTCTTTGAAGGTATAAGATCAAGATGGTGTGGCCTTTTGTGTGGTCGCAGTCTCCTTTCGTTGTATAGAAGTTATTTGACCTTGTTTTC